ATTCCAGCCTCCCCACCCCAATTCCAGCCTCCCCACCCCAATTCCTGCCTCTCTACCCAAATTCCTGCCTCCCCACCCTGGCTCCCCCATCCCTGCACAGAGAAGAGCCATGGGTGGCTCCTGGCCATTCCCGGGGTGGCTCCTGGCCATTCCCGGGGTGGCTCCTGGCCATTCCCGGGGTGGCTCCTGGCCATTCCCAGGCTGGCCCTGCCCTTCCCTCTGCCCATCCCTGCTCCATCCCGCTCCCAGCTGTCCCTCCAGCCCCACTGGACATCTGCAGGCGCCGTTGGACACAGGGAGGTGGAGCTGGAGCCATCTGCCCTGGCAGCTCCTGCGGAGCCCCAGCACCTGCTCGGGGAGAGACCGGGCTGCTAACGAAGCTGTGCTAATTAGGGGCTGCCTGAGGAAGTGTCCTGGCTGGCCGGGGGGACAGGTTTGGGGCTGGATTGGTGTCACTGCTCCTGCAGCTGTGGGCAGTTGTTGTTCCTGCTCCTCTCCTGTCGCCTCCCACATTTCCCCTTTCCTTGCGGGGTGCAGCTGTGCCAGGGGAGGGTCAGGATGGATTTCAGGGAAAGGTTCTGCTCCAGAGGGCGCTGGGGCGGTTCCCACGCTCCCCAGGGATGGGCACGGCCCCGAGAGCTCCAGGAGCATTTGGACACCACTGCCAGGGATGCCAGGCTGGGATTTTGGGGTGTCTGTGCCAAGCTGTGCCCTTCTTTTTGTCTGGCAACTTCTGGGAGAGGCCTGGGTGCCCCTGCCCTTCCCCAATTAGCCAGAGGACAGGAGCCCCTCGTTAACCTCGGGTTCTGCTCCCCCTGCACCGGGAGCTCCCTGCGGATCCAAGGTGGAGCCTCAGAGCCCCCTGAGCTGCAGCCGAGGCTCCGAGCCTGGCTTTTCCCTGAGCCTTGATCTCTTCCCAAAGCCCTTTTGGCTGGGGCAGAGCGGAGGAGCTGCTGTTCCTGCCCACGGGATCCCTCTGGATGCAAACACTGCCAGGAACTATTTCCAGTGACACCTTTGGCTTCCCCATCCTCTCCAGGAGATGCTTTTATTATTATTTTTTATTACAGTTGTTATTTATTATCCTGCTCCCGCTCCAGCGCTGCTGAGAGCCGTGGAGAGGCTTGGCTGGAATTCCAGGGGGGACAACGATCCCTCCTTTTATTCCCTGCTGCTTCCCCTCATCCCTGGCAGCTCAGGAGCTTTGGGAAAGGGCAGCTCCGAGGTTTTTTTGGCTGCAGCTGAGTGCAGATCTCACTCTGTGCCAAATTCCTCGCTGTGCCCCGAGCCTGCAGCACGGGGGTGACGGAACCGGAGCTGGGATTTGGATCCAGGCCCTTCCCTCACCTCCCAGGCAGCTCTGGAGCTCAGGATTAGCGGGGATGAGACAAAGGCAAGGCTTTCAATCCGAAAAAGGAGGTTTAGATGGGATCTTGGGAAGGAATTCTTTCCTGGGAGGATGGTGAGGGCCTGGCACTGGTTATTCCATGTGCCTTTCTTTTCCCATCCCTTTTCCTGCATTTTTTCTCCCCCCTTTTTTCCCCATGTTTTCTCCTGCTTTTCTCCACCTTTTTCCCCCACCTTCACCGCTTTTCCCGCCTTTTTTCCCTCCCTTCCCCTCCTTTTCCCGCCTTTTTTGTTTCACCTCTTTTTTCCCGCCTTTTTATCTCTGCCTTTTTCCCGCCTTTCCTCCCGCCTTTTTCCCACCTTGTTTTGCCCCGCCTTTTTTCCCCACCTCTTTTTCCCGCCTTTTTTTCCCACCTTTTTCCCGCCTTTTTTCCCACCTTTTTCCCGCCTTTTTTTCCCACCTCTTTTCCCCCCCTTTACCCCCCACCCTCCTTTTTCCTCTCCCCTTTTTTTCCCCTTTCCCTTCCCCTCAGAGTCAGCTCTGTCTCCCGTGGCGCTGCTCCCAGCTCCATTCCCACTCCCCAGCCCCTTTCCTCGGGATGAATCCCGCAATTCCCGTTCTCCTGGACCCTCCCCTGGCCCTGGAATTTTCACACCCCGTCTTCATTTAACACCAGCCAAGCGAGGGAAGGAGCAGCGCTGGGAAGTGCGGCAGAGACTCCCACTCCACCCAGGGCTCTCCATAAAAGTGCTGAATCCCTTTGGATTCCGGGCGGGAGAGAGGAGAGTCCTTTTCCTTTTGATTTCCCGGGATTTATCTCCTGCCGGCTTCGCCGTGGCAGCTCCGGAATCTCCAGGCAGTCGAAGGCAAGCGCTGGGAATTGAAGTGTAAATGAGGCGTTTGATTTCGCCTTTTAGGATTCCTCTGTTCCCTCGTTCTGTAGGTCAGGCTCTGCTCTGACGGGTGGGGCAGGAACACCTCCAGGAATGGATGGAGCTGTCCCAGGAAACGGGGAAAATGCATTTCAGGGAACGATCTCCTGGAAAAGGCTCCCAGGGATGTCCCAGAGCTCCAGAGGCGTTCGTTCAACCCTCCCAGGGATGCAGGCTGGGATTTTGGGATGGCTGTGCAGAGTCTGTTTGGACTCTGATCCTTCTGGATCCCCTCCAGCTCAGGATATTCCATAATTCCGCGATTCCCTGATACTTCCCTGCCCAGCTGCCAGTGCCAGGCTGTGTCCCCGGGCACCTCCCGGTGTCACCTGTCTGGAGTCACCTGTGCCCTGCAGCAGTTCGGAGCTGGCTGCTCTGATAAAGAAATTCCCGCATCCCTGATTTCCTCGGAGGCTCCAGGCTCGTGGTGCGGCTGCTTTGCATAAGCAGCGATAAATAAATGAGCGATAAATAAATAAATGAGCGTGTGGGGGAAGGTCTGGCCCGCTCCCAGGCAGCTGAGGACGAGTTCTCCTTCCCTCGACTTCCCTCTCCCTCGCCGGGGAGTGAGAAACGCCTTTGGGGTGTGGAGAACTCCAGAAAAGCTTTGGATGGAGCGTCCTGGGCTGCTGGAAATGCTGCTGGGTGCTCACCTGGGACAGTGCGGTCACCTGTGTGGGCATTGTGGTCACCTCTGTGGTCACCTGTGTGTCCTTGTGTGATCCTGTGGTCATCTGTGTGGGCACTGTGGTCACCTCTGTGGTCACTTGGCCCATGTGGTCACCTGTGTGGGCACTGTGGTCACCTCTGTGGTCACCTGTGTGTCCCTGTGTGATCCTGTGGTCATCTGGTCCCTGTGGTCACCTGTGTGAGCACTCTGGTCACCAGGGACAGTGTGGTCACCTGTGTGGGCACTGTGGTCACCTGGGACAGTGTGGTCACCTCTGTAGTCACCTGCTCCCTATGGTCACCTGTGTGACCATGTGGCCACCTGGCCCCTGTGTGATCGTGGTCACCTGGCACTCTGTGGTCACCTGTGTGGGCAGTGAGGTCACCTGGGGCCCCATGTCCCCATGTCCCCTGTGTGTCCCTGTGTCCCCAAGGTGTCCCCGTGCACTCTGCGTGTCCTGGTGTCCCCCATGTGTCCCGGTGCCCACTGGCTGTCCCTGTGTCCCCCTGGCTGTCCCTGTGTCCCCCTGGCTGTCCCCATGTCCCCTGTGTGTCCCCACATGTCCCCATGTCCCCCACATGTACCCATGTCCCCCATGTGTCCCCGTGTCCCCTGAGTGTCCGTGTCCCCGCAGGTTGCCAAGGGATACTGTGTGGGTTTGATGTCCCTGCGTCCCCCGTGTGTCCCCGTGTCCCCCGTGTGTCCCCACAGGCTGCCAGGGGATGCTGTGTGGGTTTGGTGTCCCCGTGTCCCCCTGTGTCCCCTGAGTGTCTGTGTCCCTGCAGGCTGCCGGGGGATGCTGTGTGGGTTTGGTGTCCCCATGTCCCCCACATGTCCCCATGTCCCCTGTGTGTCCCCGTGTCCCCTGAGTGTCTGTGTCCCCGCAGGCTGCTGGGGGATGCTGTGTGGCTTTGATGTCCCCTGTGTGTCCCCATGTCCCCCACATGTCCCCATGTCCCCCGTGTGTCCCCGTGTCCCCTGAGTGTCCGTGTCCCCGCAGGCTGCCGGGGGATGCTGTGTGGCTTCGGGGCCGTGTGCGAGCGCAGCCCCTCGGAGCCGGGCCAGGCCTCGTGCGTGTGCAGGAAGGGTCCCTGTGCCCCCGTGGTGGCCCCGGTGTGCGGCTCTGACCACTCCACCTACAGCAACGAGTGCGAGCTGGAGCGCGCCCAGTGCAACCAGCAGAGGAGGATCAAGGTCATCAGCAAGGGACCCTGCGGTGAGTGGGGCTGGCTGTCCCCAGGGGCAGGGACACCCGGGACAGGGACACCGGGACAGGGACACCCCGGGACAGGGGGAGTGGGGCTGGCTGTCCCCAGGGGCAGGGACACCCGGGACAGGGACACCCGGGACAGGGACACCCCGGGACAGGGGGAGTGGGGCTGGCTGTCCCCAGGTGGGCAGGACTGGAGCGGATGGTGGCAGGGCTGGGAGCAGGGGGACACTGGGATCAGCGGCGCTGCCTTGGGGGTCAGCAGAGTGCAGCAAGGAGGGAAAATGATGGGAAAACAATGGAGGAATGATGTAGAAATAATGGAGAAATGATGGGAATATGATGGAGGAATGATGGAAAAATGATGGGAAAAGATGGAGGAAAGAAATGATGGAGAAATAATGGAAAAAGATGGAGAAATGATGGCCTCAGGCTGGGCCAGGGACACCAAGGCTGGGAAGGGACACTGAGGAATCACCAGCTCTGCTTTAAGGGTCAGCTAAGTGTGATCAGGAGGGAAACTGATGGAAAAATAATGGAAAACTGATGGAAAAATGATGGCCAGGGGCTGATCCAGGGGCGTGTGACAACCCTGTGAGGAGCATCTCTGATGTCCTGGGGATGGGGACAGGGCTGGTGGCAGAGGACAGCGAGGAATCCGGGAGTCAGCTTTGGGAATCAGCAGGGTGTGATCAGGAGGGAAAATGATGGGAAATGATGGGAAAATGATGGACAATTGAGGTGTGTGACAATGCCTCTGGGCAGGAAACATCTGCCACAGCTGGAATTGGGGGCTGGGTGTGCTGATCAAAGCTGATCAAAGCTGATCAAAGCCCTTCCCTGGGCTGGCATTCCAGCTGGGAGCCCGCAGCTGTGGGAATGAGCCCCCTCCAGGCTCCTCAGCTCCCAGGAAATGAAGTTGACCTTTCTGTCTGGCTCCCAGTGAATCCACACCCAGCTCTCCTGCTGGGATTCCTGCACGGGAGAGGTGGATTTCAAATAATAATCATCAGGAAGCGACAAATTAAGGGGGGGATAAAGGAATTTGTCGGCGAGGAAATTGCTCCTTGAGCTCTTCTCTGATTAGAGTTTGCAGGAGGGGCCTTGAGGACCCTGGGTTGGTTTTCTGGAGCTCCCAGGGAGCGTTTGCAGGAAAAGAGGGTTCGGGAGAGGTGGAAAGGGTGGGAAAGGAGAGGAGAGAGGAGCCAGGAGGGGAGGGAGCTCCTCCTGTGCTGAGGGTTTGGAATGATCCTCGGTGGGCACTGGGGGGGATGGACTTGCTGTTCAGGAGCTGGGAATGGCTCTGCCTCTGGAATCTGCTGGAGCTGGTGGAAAATCATCCACTGCACCTGGATTGGGGTGTTTGGAGGGATGGATTTGGGTAATATCAGGATATATCAGGGTTACCCCAAGAGGAATTGGACATCTTGTGCTCTCACCATGTCCCCTCCCCGTCCCTCAGGCTCCAGGGATCCACTGAACTGGTGGAAAATTATCAATTGCTGCTGGATTGGGGTGTTTGGAGGGATGGATTTGGGGAATATTGGGATATATTGGGGTTATTCCATGAGAGGAACGGGGAGACCCGTGCCGTGCCCTGACCTGTGCTGTGCCCTGGCCCCTGCCGTGCTCTCACCGTGTCCCCTCCCCGTCCCTCAGGCTCCAAGGACCCCTGTGCAGAGGTGACCTGCAGCTTTGGCAGCACCTGTGTCCCCTCCCCGGACGGCCAGGCCGCCAAGTGCGTGTGTCCCTCGTCCTGCGGCGGCGTCCCCGAGAGCCCCGTGTGCGGCAGCGACGGCCGCGACTACCGCAGCCTGTGCCACCTCAACAAGCACGCCTGCGACAAGCAGGAGAACGTCTTCAAGAAGTTCGATGGGCCCTGCGGTGAGGAGGGGCTTGAAATGTCTCGGGAGTGAGGGGGTTACAAATAAAACTATCCCTGGGGTGGGGATTTTGGGGGAAGGAGCGGCAGGAGAGGGGGTCAGGAGGAACTTGGCCGTCAGCTCAGGAAGGTTGGGCTGGGCTGGGAAGGGGCGGTGTGGGCAGTGAAAGGTCACTCTGGACAGTGAAAGGTCACTCTGGACAGTGAAAGGTCACTCTGGGCAGCTGAAGGTCACTCTGGGCAGCCAGTGGTCACTCCTGGGATCAGAGCTTCCCAAAGAGTTCCTGGGATCAGAGCATCCCAAACCTCTCCTGGAATTAAAACATCCCAAAGAGCTCCTGGAATTAAAGCATTCTGGAATTAAAGCATCCCAAAAGGCACCGATCCCAAAGTTTGAGGGGGGCTTCCTCCTCCTCCTCCTCCTCCTCTCGTCCCTGGCTCATGGATGCCGGGATGAGAAGCAGCTGCATCCATAAGGAAATCCCAGGATCGGGCAGGACACACTCCAGGCTGCTGGCTCTCCCTGTGGGAAGCAGGGTGGGAATTTTGGGGCCGGGCTGGGAAGCTGGGAGAGCTTGGACTGTGCTCCCACAGCTCAGAGCAGGGTGGGAGCAGGAGGTGTGAAGGAGGGGCTGTCCTGCTGGGAGCTCCGGGATTTTGGGGCACAAGATAAGATTGGAGCCTCCAGGAGCGCCTGGTTTCAGCTGGGAATCACCAGGAGCTCAGGAAGGGCTGCAGGATCTGGAAGTGCCTGAAGGAATTTGGTTTGCTGTAAGGTTTGGGATGTGCTTTGGGATGGAGGGAATCCCTTCATTCCAATGCTAAAAGGGACAAATCCAGCTGGGATCATGTCCCAGCCCAGCCTTGAGGGACAAATCCAATTGGGACCCTGCCCTAAACCATTCCTGTGGGATGTGGGGATGGCAGAAAAGAAGATCCCAATTCTTGTTGTTGTTTTTTCCCCTTGTCAGCCTGGGGCTGTGCCCAGTGCAGGGATTGCAGGGATTAAAGGGTGGGAATATCCCCCGGTGCCTCTGGAATCGCAGACGAGGAATCAGCACTCTCCAGGTGCCTGCTTGGCAATCCTGTGGGGTTAGGTGCAGTCAGCACCTGTTTTGCCCCTGGTTTTGGAGTCCTCAAGGGAGATCAGCTCAAAGATAAACCCAGATTAGAGCCTAAACCTGGATTAGAGACATGAGGCACGACAGTCTGGGCCCTGGCTCCTTCCAGGGCTCTTCCAGCACTTTGGGAAGCCTGGGAGGGATAAAAGAGCAGGATGGGAGTGCCAAGCGTCCTGCAAATATTCCTTGGACTCAGAAGGTTTGTCTGGATCAGGAGAGAGGCAGAGGGGGGTGAGGGCAGCTCAGGATGGGGGAAAATGTTGAATTTACCCCAGGAGAGAGGCAGAGGGGTGTGAGGGAAGCTCAGGATGGGGGAAAGGCTGAATTTATCCCAGGAGAGAGGCAGAGGGGTGTGAGGGCAGCTCAGGATGGGGGAAAGGCTGAATTTATCCCAGTACTGTTCCCATTGGAAATGGCCTCAGCAAGGAGCAAGTCCTTCAGGGCACAAAGGAAGGTTTGGGGAGGCTCTTGGGGCAGGGAAGGAGCAGAGCCTGGGAAGCAGCAATTTGGGCATGGAATGTCAGGAAGATTAATCCACAAACACCAGAGGTTTATGTCCAAAAAGGAGACAGAGGAGTCCTTTTACTTTATCTGAGTAAAGGGAGAGGCCATGGGCCATTCCCCTGGGGTCTCTCCAGTTTTTGGAGGGCGCAGCCTCCCTTTTATCCCAATTTCCTGGCTGCAGGTCCCTCTCTCTTTCCCATTGGCTGAGGTCCTTGAGAGGCACAGACCTCCCGGAATGCCTGATACCAAAGATTCCCCTTTTAATTTTTAATTCTTAAGGAATTTATGGTTTTCTCCTATTGTCTCTTTCGCCTTTCAACATCCAGTTTCATTTACCGGCAATCCCACAGTTTGTTTGTAAAGGCAAATATCCTTTTTTTCCATTCACCGGTCAGTGGAAACCATCCCATTGTTTATTTCATCTCTCAGCACTGGTTTTATTTCCCTGTTTGTAAAGACAAAATTCCGCTGGGAATGACTCCGTGCT